TTTTCATTTATTGCTACTCATTTCGTTCAAAATCGAGTTAAAACCTTTTTATATTTACTGATAATTTCAATGCTAACCAATTGAGTTATAAACCGAATATAAATTAAATTAAAATAGCTAAATTTATAAAAAAAAATCCAAAACTTAGAAAGAAAGAAAGAAAGAAAAGTTGTAAATTAATCTATTTTTTAGTAAAAATATGGATATAAATTAAAGATTAATCAAAAGATACATCTAATTAATTAACAACTTTGTAATCATAATCTTATTAGATATTACAATTAAAATTTGATCCACCAGGAATCAGATTTCACCAATCATAGACCGCGCAAGCATTAATTGATGCGTCATTACTGTTAGAGATACATTTCCCACCATTTTCTAAATCAAACGCCCATTTATGCTTAGCGCAAAAAAGTTTTGATCCTATTACTACACCCTATAAAATAATTAAATATGATAAAAAGAGTTGAGAAAAATGTAGAAATATTATATTTATAGTTAAATTTAGTGTGATGCTTACCCGAGCACTAAGGTCAGCTTTAGCATGTGGACACCATCTATCTACCTCATAAATTTTACCAGAAGAAGTTTTAACCTTCATTCTATCACCATCACCAATAATTTTTTTGTTAGGTGGAGGCATATAATATTGATCATCTTGAACTTGAGATGTAGGAGGAATAGATTTTAGAGGAGTCCTAGCAGAAATAATTTATTGTGTATTTACTTCAGCACTACTTTGTGGGGCTTCATAAGGAATGGGATCATCCAAAGTTGATTGATCAAAAGTCTGAGGAGCTTCATAAGGAATAGAATCATCCAAAGTTGATTGATCAAAAGTCTGAGGAGCTTCATAAGGAATAGAACTCAAATTTGACTTATTAAAAGTCTGAGGAGCTTCATAAGGAATAGGATCCAAAGTAGGATTATTAAAAGTCTGAGGAGCTTCATAAGGTATAGGATCCAAAGTTGATTTATTAAAATTTTGAGGAGTTTCATAAGGTATAATAGGACTCACAGATGACTTATTAAAAGTCTTTGATAATTTCATTTCATTTGTTTGGTGATGATGATGATGAAATTTTGAAATTAAATTATCAAGAGAAACTTTTTTTGATAGCTTTTTTTTAGGTCTTTGATTATCTATTGAATCATTAATAAATTTTTGATTAGATTCACGATTAATAGCTTCACGACATAAATCTTTGACAATCGGTAGTAATTCTATATCCTAAAATTTAATAAAAAAAAAAGTTAACAAAACATATAAGAAAAATTAATAATAATGATAAAGTATTAACCTTCCAGCTCTCATTTGATAATGTACGTAGGTCCTTCATTGTAAAAATTCGATTATTGGTTAAAACAAGTATATCCGAATTAATTTGGCTTTCAGGCCAAGAATGTTCTACACCTATTTGTC